ACACACATGTGCACGCACCTGTCCCAACCTAACATGCAAGATCACAAATGAGTCTGGAATAAGCATGAGTGGATGCAGGCATCTCTTTCCCTTTTCCTTGCTCCCAACCCTATCCCTCCTAGCAAGGGCCTTGCACATATGTGTGGAGACCTCAGTCCTCATGTCAAAGTCCCATGTACGTTCCCAGACAGCTGTCTTTTGGTCACCTTTTGAGGCTGATCTTACGTGAAACTGAGAAGACCTGGGAGTGAGTTTGGGGCCAGTGGGTCATGAAATTATAGGGTTCAGAGATCTGGTCCCTGGGCAGAAGGGAAGATCAGGGGCAGGTGGGCACAGGAGAAGGAGGAGGACACAGTGTGATGAGAGCCAGTACCGGGCTCAAGACAGGTCCCCAGTGGCCAGTTCAGAGACATAGAAAGTACCCCCAGAGGCCGAGAGCCTCTTTGATTTTTCTGTGAGAGGCTGATTTCCAGCTTTCCAGAAAATCTGCCTCTCTTCAAGCTGTTTGCTGTCTTCTTGGCCTGTAGGCAGTTACTCAAGAAGGTCATATGGGCAGGGCCTTATCTGGAGGCAGAAACCATAGGCACGAGGCTTGGACATATTTGCACAGGGGATGTAAATTCAACAAACCAATCTCCACTGCACACACACGGCTTTCTCAGCAATTTCCAACTTGTTTGCACCAACCTGAATGTAAACCTGAAGCTCTCTCCACCAGCAGCAATTACTGGAGCAGAAGCTGGGCTTGGTGGCGGAGGTTTAGTGGGGTCAGAATGAAAGCATGAAAGCTTCCATCACACGTCCTGAAATCTAGTTTCCATGGTACTGGATTTTAGGGCATCCTCTTGTTTGAATGGAAAAAAAAAAAAAAGAAATGTTCTCCTTTAAGATCCCGCTGATGTGCCAGAGGGGACAGGATAGGGACTGTGGAATCAGGGGGTTCAAGCTCAGGTGTCCATTCTTCTTGTAGGAAGTGCCCCTCAGCTGACCCTGTGCTCTGTGCTGGAGTTGCTGGGTAAACAGAATAGGTCCCTGGGAGAGTGGGACAGCAGACAGATGCATTAACAAACAATTCCTGGGCATTGTGACAAATGCCAAGTGGGACAGACAATGATGCATAGTATCCGATGAGCCCACAGAATGGGGCACGTCTGTGTGGACCTGGGTAAATTATGTCCCTTCACTCAGTCTCAGTTTTCTATGCCATAGAGTTGTTTCTCACAAGCTAGTAAGAGTCAGTGCCTAGCCCAGCACTGCTGCCTAACAAATAGGCCTTACTTTTCCTTTTCCTTGAATAGGAATTTTCTAATTTACATACTTCCATGACGTGTCTCTTACCTACAGTTCTACCAGAGTCCTTCTTGCCTTTTGCATTTGAACTGAGATTTCATTGAGCCTCTTAATTCCCATAACCTGGAGAACCCCTAAAATCATTCTCAAAGATCTCTGTATCACAGGTATGTTTGGAGTCCCCTTTGCCTGGTGCCTCCCTGTGCTCTCATGTGGCGTCTTATGTGGCCCAATGGGGTGCAGATCTCAGTCCTTTCTGGAATCTACAGGAGATCCAGTCCCAGGAGACTTCTTCCCAGTATCTTGAGGACCTTCTTGAAAGTCTAGCAGTCACATGGGGAATGGTCACTTAATGCTCCCCTGACACCCTGTCATTTGTCACCCCTGTACCTCTCCTGCTCCATCAAAGCCCCCAAAGAATGCATGCTCTTCCATCTCTGGAGGCTCAGCCTGCATGAGACAGAGGCCCTGGGAATACAGCGTCTGTCTCCAACAAACTTCCCAAAGCGTTTCCCCAAGAAAGGCAATTCTGTCTAAGAGGAATTTCCTCTGTTAGAGAAAGGCAATTTTCTCTCTCTTTACAGTTCATTTTATGCTCATTAACAGCCCTCTGAGATTAGTGTAATAATTTCCACTTTATAGATGAGGAGATGGAGGCTCAGAGATGAAGTGCCCTTGCCCAAGGTCACTCAGCTGCTAAGTGCCAGTGTCTGGCTTCGAGCCCTGCTCTGACCGTCCACCACGCCTGTTGCTGAGAGGGCAAGAGGATTTCCTGTGCCCCCTCCTTCCCACTCTGGAGGGAGTCTCTTCACTGTGTGGCAGGCTTAAAACCCTCTTACTGCCTTTGAAAAGGTGGCCCTGGAATGCTTTTACCTCTAAGAGGAGCAAAAAGGTGTTTTTGTGGTCACTGCACAAGCAAGCTGCGGGGAGATTGGACACCAGGGCGGAAGACAGGCCAGCGGTCAGCTGAGCACTAAATGTGCTTGAATTATAGCCTCGTCCCCTCCAGCAGGCCCCCGGCTCCTGAGGGTCCAGCAATTTCTGCCTTTTGGCTTTCCCACAGCATTCTCCCAGGTCTCCCCAGACTCCTGATGGCGACATGCCTCACATTTGTGTCCCTGCCTGTCTCAGCCTCCAGTGTTGTCACTGTTCAGAGAAAACAGAGGCTTTACATTTTCCAACTCCAGCTCTCAGCCATGGCAGTTGCTATGTGGCTTTAGGACGATCATTTCATCTCACAGAACCTGGCYTTCCTCTAGGGCCTGTGAAGCCTTCCTCATGACTCCTTGTGACGTTGACAAGACTCAGCACATGGGTGTTCATCCCATACTCACCAAGGCCTTGTGCACCAGGCACAAGGTGAGACAGACACAAGTTCAAAACCCCACTTTGCCACTTGCTAGCCTTTCTAGTGGGTGCACTTTCCAGGTCCTCTCTGGTCCTCGATTTACTCATCTGTCAAATGGGTTGGCAGTTCCTAACAAAGTCCTATGATGATCCGAGACATAGAACCCAGCACCTGGGGCTGCTGCTCCATCCGTGGTGTTTGTTCTTATGGTTTAGTTTGTGTTTTGAGGCTGCACTGGAGAGCTCAAAAATTACTCTTAATATGGGATATGGTACTTTCAAGATACTTAACAAGCTGTAGCTTTGAGCTTCAGTGAGTCTTAAATGTCCCTGTTTTCAATCCCTAACAGGGAAGGAGAGGGCTCTGTGAGGGTGGCTATCTTGACTTGGCAGTGGTCTAGAAGGTGCTCCCAATGAGGAGTGTTAAGGTCCCCAGCAGGAGTGGGCAGCCTGAAATTTCTGGCATCTGAGTTGGGCAATCTAGTTGGGCAAGGATGGAGGGATGTTCCATATTTCTCTGGCAAGTGGCCTTTGCTGTACGTAAGCTTATTCATCCGTACTCACTGCGGCCTGGGCCACTGTGAGGCGTTCAATCAAGCAACAGCTGCCAGCCTGGTTGTGACCCTCAACAACGGGGACAGTACTTTTCACCTTTTTTATTCCACATGGGTTCAGCACAGTGGGCTCTCAGCTCATCCAATGTCACATTCTCAAAGTCACCCATTTGCTTCTGGGATGCTGACTCTCCTTTCCACAAAGGACATGTGAGCATGAACAGCCGGGCTATAGGAGTGACCATGAATTCTTCAGTTGATCGGGGGCCAGGGCTGGCCATCTTCCCTAGGAGCCTCCTACCAGCAGCCACATGGCCACTCGGGGCTGGCTTGCCAGGTTCTCTGACATTTCTGTGAAGTGTGTTCTGTGGTAAGGCTCTGACACAAGTTGCATGTTCCCTATTGGGAGAGATGAGGGACTTAGTTGGCCCCAAGAACCTTCAACCCCACCCCTTCTTATTGCTTCATGGGTATCAGGACAGCCATTTCCAAATGCTCTGAGGGGACTGCAGAAGTAGTGTCATCCTAGTCTATCATTTTGCATAATGGTCCCACCCAGAACTGCCATTTATTAGACAGGCCAGGTGGATGCATATGCATGTGAAGCACTGTGATTATTTTTATTACTACTCTGATTACTGGGAAACAAACCATCAAGCAGACAACAAACCCCAGCCATCATATATGGAGGACTTATTAAGTTCCAGGTGCAACTCTAACTGCTTCACAAATATCTCCTCCTTCCTCTGCGATGCGGTTGGCTGCTATGATTATCACTATTTTAATAGTGAAATCAGGAGTGGACCCAAAAGAGGTGACCAAACTTGGCAAAGTCCTGTAGGTAATGTGGGGAGAAATACTGGTTTAATGTCTAGTCTGGGCTTCGCTATTCCCAGCTGAGAGACCTTGACCTTGGGGAGGTGCCTGGCACCCTAGAAACTGTGTCTCCACTATCCCAAATGCCTGAACTCTAACACAGAATGATCTGGAAATGTGGAATTTCTTTTTAATCTTGTTTGTTATTATCTGTTTTGTACAAAAACGTCTATTTAACTTCTATAAGGTATACATATTAGATTAGATTATTCACGATAAAATAAAACCCATCCAATGTTCTCTATGGGGGTCTGGGACCAAGATCAGTGATGAGGAATGGATAGAAGATACTGTTGGGGTGAGAAGGATCAGAGTTGTTGTAGGGTGCTGGGAAATGATGATTTGTGTTATGAAGGGAGGATGGTGAGTAAATGAAGCTTCAAAGGTAGAGCCCTTGGGACCTAGTGACCATGTGGATGGACTGATACTGCATGTCAAAGATGTGACTTGCTTTTCAGCTTGTGGATCTGGATGCTATTAACAGAAAAGGGGAAGAGACCACCAGAAGGAGAGGATGTGGCTGAATGAAATAGAAGGATGCAAGGGAGAGCCCTAGCAGCCACCTAGATCAGCCTGTCCCAGAAGCGCTGTGTGTGCTGTTGGTAGCACCCAAGATGCATTTCAGTGGCTCCCCTGATGGACCCTTAAGAATTCAACAATTCTGTAGTTAACGATTTACTTAYRGCATGTGATATATGACAAGCCTTCACTTCATATATTTATGTTTTCTCTTACATGCATTTAAATAAGAAAAAGGAAATTGATTTAAGGAAAAATGTGATGTAAATTATGCTGCATGTGGGCAGAAACCACGAAGGCAGTGATGGAGCGGTTACAATACGTCGGGAAGGGAATTCTCAGCTGCTGTAGCAGAACAGCCACTTGTCTTCCTGACAGCCTCCAGAGACCTTGTGCCTTTCTGATGTCTTGCAGATCCCGTGCATGGCCCGCAGAACGTGGAGATCGTGGACATCCGGGCCCGGCAGCTGACCCTGCAGTGGGAGCCCTTTGGCTACGCCGTGACCCGCTGCCATAGTTACAACCTCACGGTGCAGTACCAGTACGTGTTCAACCAGCAGCAGTACGAAGCCGAGGAGGTCATCCAGACCTCCTCCCACTACACCCTGCGGGGCCTGCGTCCCTTCATGACCATCCGGCTGCGGCTCCTGCTGTCCAACCCAGAGGGCCGGATGGAGAGCGAGGAGCTGGTGGTGCAGACCGAGGAGGACGGTGAGCAGGCGAGGCCAGCCTCCTGGGAATGGGGGGTGTGGGCAGGACCCACTCACTGACTGCCACCCAGTCAGTGATGAGGTTTTCATTTTTTCCTGCATCTTTGATTTGTTCCCCAAGATCTTCCATGAAAGACCATGCCGGTCGTGCCTTGCACAACTCGGGTTGCTGTTCTCATGCACGACGGCAACTCTGCCACACATATGCTCTCGAGGTTGGCCCTTCTGTGTCCCATTCCTCTTCTCCCTTTCTCCCACCTCCTGTGAGACAGCATACATATCCCGTTGTTTCCACATGTTGAGATCGGAAGTCACGTGAATTCTCAGTTCTGTTCAAATTTAAAGAAAATACATATGAAAACCTTAGCATGTACATTGCCCACAGAACTGATGATTCAATGGGTGTCCTTCAGGCATATCAAAGCCAAAGTACTCAAAAGGGAACCAGTTCCCTCTTCTGCACACTGACTTCTTTTCCTGTGGTCTTTGTCTCAATGAACTGCATTTGGTGGCTTAAGATGGAGACCTCAATTTCAGTCCAGGAGGCTCCTCTCTTCAACCCCATTCCACCTCTCCAACTCTCAAGGTTCTAATGAGTCTGCTTCCTATAGTTTATCTCCCAACATGCCTCCTAATCTGAGAGTCCTGGAATATGGAGACTCTTGTACTCCTAGAACATACTTCCAGCCTTTCTGTCCTCACCCATGCTGTTCCTTCTGCTCAGACTGACTTCTCGCTCCACATTTGCAGGGTAAACTCCATTAATCTTTCAAATGCTCAAATGCTTCCTCCAGGAAGCTTCCCTGGACTGCCCCGAACTTCCTTCCTAGGCTCCCACTGCAATTTGCATATAACTTCAACATAGCACTTCTCTTATTGGTGGGATCAAATTTGCCAGTTCTAGGATTTGTCTAAGGAACATTGTCCATGGCTGAATTTCAGATGTACCTCCAGCCAGGCTGGCTCTGGCCCTGTAGGGCATCTTATTTAGTCRTCCAGAATCTGACTCTGAAATGCAAATTGTGTATAAGGAATTGATTATGGAAATTTCCTGGGGGACACTGGGCAGGGGATGGGAAGGCAAGGCAGAGAACGGGAGGAGCTTCGGGCCAAGTCCTGCAAAGGTTGGCTGCACCCTCAGCCTACAGAGGAGCTCTACAGGGTGGGCAATACATAACAGATATTCCAAGTCAGGAAGGGGAGCTAGAACTGGCTTCATTGTTTCAAAAATGAATGGTACTTTCCTCCAGAAGGTAGAACAACACCATAGCATTATGGTAGGTTATTGTGCACTTTAAAAGTGATGGTAATACAAAGACATTAGACCTAAACCCAGCAGATCTTATTTTCTCAATGTATGTAGCTACTATGTTTGCACTAAGTCACAGGAAAAAAGTTTCTTGACCAAGGAGTCTGAAACATAAGTAACTCAGGAACTGCCCAGTTGCTCTAGGAAATCCTATCAGGATCAAGCCATCCCCTGGAACTGGTTGTAGAGTCTACCACATAAACTCTCAAGGAGTAGTAGTGTACTGGGCCTTAACTGAGATGCAAAGTGGGGTCMAGAGGGTGGCTTAGTGACTAGTGTTCACAGGGCATCCCCAGGGATAGAAAGGGAAGAGCAGAAGGTGCTTTGCTCACCCTGGACTATTCTTTGAGGATGACGGTGCACCTGCAAATCCCAAGTCAATCCCAGCTTTAAGGTGTGCCTTAAACTCTTTCTTTCTAACTCTTGACACTAAGAGAAAAAATAAATCAACAAATCAACAAACCACAGAGCCTTTATCAAAACAATGCAAGAGCAGCAATGCTTTGAAATTAAATTTATATTAAACATCATTAATAAAACATCCATTCCTGCTCCAAGAGGTGTGTGGACGTTATCCTATTAAAGACAGTTTCTCAGCCTGTAGCTCAGAAACTGCTGGAAGGTCTTAGCAGAGTGGGGCCACCCTCTCTATGCCACAATTAGACTCGATTCTTCCTAAAGAAGGAGGAGACATTTCCATTTGCTGGGGTGCTCATTCACCTCCAGCAGGAGCTAAAGTTAGAGCATGGCCCRGGCCATTAACTGAAGCTCCCCTCCGGGAGCCAGCAAGAGCGACCTCTCKGATTGAGCTGACTGGCTCCATGCTGCTTTTTATCCGTTTTCCAAAATTGTCTTCTGGGGAATTTGTAGAATTTGTCATTTCAGCACCCCAGTGCCTTTGAAGACCTGAAAAGTAATCTACTGCTAGAGAGAGAAGCTCATGGCCCCAGAGCCCCATGGCRTCATCTGGAAGCAGCTGTTGGTAAAAGGCTCAACAGATTCTTATTTTTTTTTCTCTTTTCCACAAATGTCTCAGACAAAACCAAGGTTTCCTTATTTCATGGTTACTCTTCCATTATTAAACAGACCATGRTCAAGATCGTGAAATGGAATAGAAGAGGTCTTCAAGGATGAAAACCATGTCGAAGGGGTCTCCATTCAGCCATTTTTGGGCTGCTATTTATTGAGCACTTATAATGTCCTAGGCACCAAGAAATAGGCTTGCTATATACAATGACTCCTGTGTGTATATGTATATGTGTGTGTGTGTGTGTGTGTGTGTGTGTGTGAGAGAGATTTTGTTGTGAAATGGTTCAAAACTACTAGGAAAAAAAATGAAAGATTAGTACTATGAAGACCTGAAAACCCTCTGCACAGATTCAACATATGTTAACATTTGCTACATTGACTATTTCATAGAGGTGATAGGTTTGTATGATATGAAATACACACACACATATAATTTTTAGCTGTTTGAAAATAAATTACAGAAATCATGACACAACCCATTAACAGTTTAAAAATAAGAGCATTCTCCTACATAGCCACAATATCATATGACATATAAGAAATTTGGCATTAATTTAAAGATGATCAAATATACAGTCTATTTTCATAGTTCTAATATTATTTCTAATAACATTAAACCTGATTTTATATGACAAAACCAGAGTGAAAAACATTTCTGGAAAAAAAATATTACATGGTTCGTGGTGCATATTTCTCACTGTATCTTGGCAGGAGGTCCCCAGAGATAGGGAGCTCCTCCATCAGTGATGTTACCTCTGGTCACTTAATTAAGACAGGGTCCACCCGCCCCCTCCACTGCAAATGCAGTCCTTTCTTCTCTTTGTAAAGTTGCTGTGCTGTGACACTTAGAGACGGCATTAGCACCCTATCCCCTCAAAACTGTCCCTCAAGGGTTGTAGCACTCCTTAACTAAAGTAATCAAGTGTTACATTGGTGCTGGCAAAAGGGTGGCTTTGAAATTCATCATTCACCTATACTTATTAATTAGCTTTCTTCTTTATAGAAGAGTTTTTCTCTCATCTTCCTTCCTGTGTTTACTATCCTTATTGACTCATAGATCATATTTTGACTCAGTTCACAAGCATCTACCACCATCATTACTCTTCTGTAGGCTCAGGCTGTCATGACGAAGGCCAGCAGGAGTCCCTTCAGGTTGGCTCCAGGTCCTCTGGACCTGCCCTCATTTGTCTTCCTTGCTTCTGGCATAGCACCATGTCCTATTCTACCCTTATGATGTCCCTGCCATGCACCTGAAGTCAACCACTTCTCTACGGATTTCTGGATGAGATCAGTGGTATTTTGGTCCTAAGATCTACATCTGACATGAGCTCAACATAGCGATATTGCCTGGAGGTGCTACCTCTCCAGGTAGAAAGAGCTAGGGAAGAGAATTAGTTTTAAATCATGATCTTATCCTGCTCCAACCCCAAGGCCTCAGGATTCTTCTCCACCTTCTACCCAGACATCCCCTTCTCCCACAGTGAAGATCCTGAACCTAGGATTTTCATTTATTCCATCCTACGTATAAAGTAGTTTCAAAGTTACAGCAGCAATCCCGTGAACAAACAATAAAGCTAATTTGGGTTGAAGACCTCAATTTTTCTGTCTTCAGTGTTTTTAAGGCTGTGTCCCACTGAAGATGGGCGGTCGAAATACAGTGCTCCAAAGTTCAGTGTTTATCTCCTCTCCGTGTGCTTATAATCTCAACTTGGTACCCAATTAGATCCATTTGTTTCAATATTAAGGTTTTCCTTCCCTTGTCCTTTCTTAAATTAAAATGTATCGTAGTTATTGTTTTTTTAAACAGGTGAATGGCTGCCTCTTTCAAAAGTCAAAACTCTTTAAAAAAGGGTTCAGCYGGAAAGTGCTGCCTCTGTCCTTATTTTTGTCGCACAGTTCCCACCCTGAAAGACAGCCATTTTCATTCATTTCTGGTTTATCTTTCCAGTAGTTCATTTTGCAAAAAGTAAATGATATTTTCCTCTCCTTCTATTTTTCTGTAAGAGGTAACAGAATTGATACACTTGGCATCTTTGGTTTTTTTTTTTTTTTTTGGTTGTTGTTCCCTTAGTATATTCTGGAAATCACTCCATGTCAGTTAGTACAAAATTCCCTCATTCCCTTTATAGCTCCAACATACTTCATTGTGTGGATGAATATACCTAAGTGTCTGATGGACAGTTAGGTTGTTTCAATTATTTGCTATCACAATACTGCAGCAAATAGCCTAGTGCCGGTGTTGTTTGCTATTTGTGAAGATGTATCCCACTGGAATCAAWGGGCTTATGCATTTAGATACCCTTCACAGAAGTTGTATTATTTTGTCTTTTCTCCAGTGGGGTAGACTCATATAATCTTAATAGCAAATGTGAAAGAGGAAGCAGCATTACTTATTGTGCAATGGAGAATTTTAGGTTCCCATTTACAATAATTTATAAAATCATAATTGATTTTAATAACTAACATATATCAATGTATTCTGGCACAGCACCACATTCCTGACTCAATATATCAATTGTGTGTGTGTGTGTGTATGTGTGTGTGTGTGTGTATGTGTATATGTGTTTGTGTGTGTATATATATGTATATATATATATATATATACATATATATATATACACACCTACTTGATATTTTATATTATTAATCATATAATATATATA